AAAAAAAATGATGGTAGCATAGTGGGTAGTGAGAAGTGGATAGCTTCTGGATACATATTAAAGAAAGAGTAGAGATGATGATGGCTTGGAAGTGCAATTGAGGGCCACTTCACCTTTGTGTGAATTAGAATAGGGGCCTGTGTAGACATTTTCCTGATGGCACGCCTGTGTGTGAATTAGCAAAAGGCATCCATCCCTTCCTCTCAGCAGACATATCGTACCACGAACTTTTTGGTTTTTTTCCAAGTAAATCATGCCTTAAGTAATAGCTGCAGGTAGAAAAACCAAAAAAAAAGTACAGGCGATAAAAGATGGACTTGGTTGCTGAAGACCCTGGGGACAGGCTTTCTCTTGTTTTCGTCTTTATCTCCTCATTTACCTCCCTCTACCACCACCCCCCCTTTTTTTTTTTGGCGGAGGGATATCTTTACCCTCTTTCTTTTATTTTCAGTGTCCTTTGCCTTTGTGTGTGTACTTTTTTTTTTTTTTTTTTACTTTATATACTCAATAAAAATTATCTTTCAGATTTTTAGTTTTGTTTGGGGAAGGACCTCGTAATAGGACTGAACTTGGTACTGGTACATGGACTATGTTCCCGTAATTATTTCTATGTTTTCATTATAATCAATGGAAGGAATAAAAGAGCGAGAACGAAGCATCAACTATATGCACGCTATTCTGCAAGGCCTGTGCAATCTTATCTCTTCATCTTCATAGCAACCTTGGGAGGCAGCTTTTATTGCTCATTTTACAGATGGGGAAACAAACTCTAAATGAAATTAAGAAACTCGCCCAAAGTCACGTGTAACTTGGACTGAAACTGAAAGTAAAGTATTGGACTGTAACTGAAGTCTGCATGCCTCTGTTGAATCCCAGGGTCCACAATGTTCTTTCTAATTTATTCCTCCAGGTTTGTTAACGGAATAGTCTCCTGAAAAAAAAATTCTAATTATTTCAATATGTTTAGTACTGATAGATATGAGAATGTATTATTCGTCAGCTATTCATTTGTATTACATTGATAGATAGAAATACAAGAATACATTAATACATTTAGTGCCATTGGGGCAAATTATTTGACATAAGAGAAAGAACATAAAGAAATTCATATATGACTGTGAGATTGTGAATCCTAATTTTTCAGTCTAGCTCTCTGGTTTGCCCTGTGTTTCAAAAATGATCCCAAGGGACTACAAAGCCTCCTTCTGATTTGCTCTTTGGAGTGGTCTCTATTTGAGACCTTGGAGGCTTGGACCCTCCTGTGGATTATTGTGGGATTTGAGGTCACTGAACATTTGAGTTGTTGTTTTCTTCTTTGCAGGCCTACAATGGGCACCATCAAGCCTTGGAAGTCCTTCTGCAGTCGCTGGTGGACCTGGACATCAGGGACGAGAAAGGCCGCACTGCTCTGGACCTGGCTGCCTTTAAGGGACACACAGAATGTGTGGAAGCACTTATCAATCAGGGTGCATCCATCTTAGTGAAAGACAATGTAACCAAAAGAACCCCCCTTCATGCCTCAGGTAGGTCTTGTCAAGGATCTGGCTAACGTTTTGGCCATGATTCTGGATACCCTATCTTTGGCCCACTTATAGTTTTGAGTAAAAGGATGGCAGTATCTTCTTTCATCCCAATTTTTAAAACAACCGTTTGCTTTCGACATTAGATAGACCTACACGCTCCTAAAATGCTTCTGGCGTGCTCTCCGCTTGGAGATGATTGGTGTTCTCTGACCAGATAGGCTCTGGACCTCTTCATAGGATCACATAACTCAAAAGAGAGTCAGAACCAAAGGCTACTGCAAAACTTTCTGAATAAAGGGGCAGGGTGTAATGTGATCTTCAGAATAAGTTACAAAGAACAAAACATTAAAATCACACAGCATTTTAAAGCATAAAATAAAGGACACTTCAGGACTGTTTCATAAAAGGAGTCATCAGACAGCAATCTAATCAGTGTATCATTCTACCAGCCTAAAGATATTGCTCAGCTTTTGCTCTGATTTTGATACATCAGGTATAAAAATAGAGACTCTTAAAAAGTGCATATACATTTTTTAAAGTGCATATATATATATCAAACAGTAAGCCATTTGTCTTTTCTGGAATTGTTCTCTAATGTGTGTGAAATAAAACTGTGGCAAGACACATCTAGATGTATAAACCAGTTGCTGTCGAGTTGATTCTGACTCACGACGACCCCATGTCAGAGTACAACTGTTTTCCATAGGGCTTTCAATGGCTGGTTTTTTGGAAGTAGATCACCAGTCCTTTCTTCCAAGGTGCCTCCAGGTGGACTTGAACCTCCAACCTTTTGGTTAGCAGTCGAACGCATTAGCCTTTTGCACCACTCGGAATACACAGATATGAAAGTAATGTGAAAGGGTCTCTGGCTCAGCTAACACATAAATATCATGGGGCTCAGGAACTCTGTTGATACCAGCCTTTGATCAGGGCAGTCAATATCATCTTATAAGGAGAAATAACTGTCTTACATGGTGAAATAATGTGTATTGAAAAGGCTTTATGATTCTTGTTACTTGAGAAACATTTTCCTGGACTGTTAGACCTTGTAGAAGCGTTTCCCTCAACATCTTGAACGTCCAAACCACTGAAGGCGAAGAGACTGAAAAAATCTGGCTGTTGCCTAATTACCTGGAAATGATTGTTGCTGGAAAAGATTTTAGCCATGAGGGCAGCAATGGTTGGTACGGTTGAATTATAAATTCTTACTTTCCAGCACATTTAGTCTCCTCTTTTTGCTCCCTAGGTCTTCTTGGTATTATTATAAGGTTCAAATTTAGTTCTCCATTCTTAAGATTAGTTGCCTATTAGTAAGGCATGCATCCTGCTTAGTTATCAAGTAATTGCTGACAATTACAAAGGACCAATTTTCGTAAACAGGTAAACAATGAATGATCATTGTTACTCATTTGCCACCGTCCTGTAGGTTGTGATCTAATGGAGCCCCCTAGTGGTCAAGAAGATTCACTCCATTTGGGTTTCCCCTTGTCATTCATTAAAAAGACACAGACCGTCATTTGACTCTGTTCTCCACAAAATGTCTGCTGTGTGGAAAAGCTTTAGCCTGTGCTTTAAGGATCCGCTTACCCAGAATCTCTTTCAGCTAACGTGAGAGCCAATTTTTTTTTGTTTCAGATCCTGGGAGTACTGTGAGGAGCGGGAGCCAGGATGGATATTAGAGGTTTTGGCACAGATTGTTGCAGTGACATTGGTGGTTTTTGAGCAGCATGAAAAATGGCTGTCACTCATAACCAGGGAGAGGCTTGGCTACTGTGAGACAAAGCAGGGCACAGCGAAAGGAGATGTTAGCATCTTCTTGCTAGAAGGCAATTGGGGGAAAGAGACAGTGTGTGGGAAGCCCAGGACAATTTTTGTTTGGCTACATTTTTACAATAAGGGGACTTATATTTACCCGAGGGCTATTAGCTAAATTCAAAAATCTACTGTTAAAAAAAAAACACTGTGGAAGTTGCTTTGCTCTCCAACACACTGTGTGAAAGATATAAACTTAGATGATTTTTTTTCCTTTTCTGTTTTGCCAAAAATCAGACATCCTTGGAACTATTATGATTATGAATATTTAAAGTCTATCAAATTGATACCGAAAGAGGAACTAGTCAAAATATGCTGTTCCTCCACCTTCATAATACCATCACCTGTACTATGCAGCTGTAGTATTCAGCTGTCAGCCCTCTGCTAATCATTTCCTATTAGGCATACATTAAATTCCTTGCATGTTTCGTCAGTGGTAACAGAATTAATGTAATTTTTAAAACAAAAAAAACAGACAACAGCAACAACAACACATTACCTGTACTCCAGCGCACAAAATTTCCTCCTGAGACACATCAATGGAATGTTTCTGAGAAGGAGGCTCAATGCAATGGTCTTCAAAATGTGGGTATTATTCCCGTGGTTAATTTGAGTGGTGTCCATGAATGGGAGTGAATTCTAGCATGTATTGTCCCTGAAAAAAATGTGTCGTTAAATTAGCATTCTCTCATGACTGGCATGCAATAAAAAGGACTGTAAAAAAGAGCTCTTAGAAGTGCCTTTATCAACCTAACATAGCTACATCTATTCCCTTCTCTCTCCACGTCCGTAATGAGGTAAATGCAATACATTCCATGGTGTTCTCACTGTTGAGAGAGAAGAGGAGGTCATGTTTGGAATTTTAAAGATATTTTTTTCATCTTACTCCCTGAGTGAAAAGCCATGTCTATTGTAAATCTTTGCGTTCCACTCAACAAGCTGGAGGAAAATACCTTGCACCAGGTGATTATCATAGATGTTTGCTGCTCAGCCCCATGGCACCACCACCTCCTAAAAGAAGCACGCAAGTGAGGACACAACCTGCCCGAGGGCGCACCAGGGCGAGCAGGGCAGGTCAGGGCAGGGCGGCCAATAGGAAAGGGCTCTAAGGATGCCTGAATAAGAGCATGGCATAGAAGGGGAGAGGAGAGGAGGGAGGAGGTAGGAGCCCTGCCTACAGGATGCTCTAGACACTCTGGAAGGCAAAGACGTGATGGGCTGTAGTTTAAGAATCCTGGAACCCAGGTGTCCTCCAGCCGCAGGGGGCCCATCTGAGTCCCTGGAGAGAGCCAGTCGATCAACGAGCAGGCTGAGCTAGTGTGAGACAAAGCTGGGCTTGGCAGGGCATAGGTAAATGATGGATCTCTTACACCTCTTTGGCTTGAGGTTTTGCTCTAAGGCTACTGCTAATCAATTGGAACTCCTGCTCAAATGTGTTAGCTCTGTATAAGATGACCCAAAGAGGCAGAGCCTGTTTCCTTCTCTCTTCCCTTCTTTCCCTCTCCCATCTCTCCTCCTCCTCCCCTCCTTTTCCTGCACCCTTTGGCCCCCCTTTCTTTTTCCTCCCCCTTCCTCCTCTTTTTAAAAAAGGGCTAGAGGCAGGTTGAACACAGGATGATTATAAGAATTTGGTGACTGTCTTAGAGGAACAGAGCCCTGGTGACACAGTGGTTAAGAGCTGTGGCTGCTAACCAAAAGGTCAACAGTTTGAATCCACCAGTCACTCCTTGGAAACCCTGTGGGGCAGTTCTACTCTTTTCTATAGGGTCACTAAGAGTTGAAATCGACTCAACAGCAACGGGTTTTTTTTGGTTCTCAGAGAAACAAAAAGGGTAACTGAAAAGTCAGGAGAGATTATCAGTCCTATACAAGGAGATAAGGATGATGTCAGGAACCAGTTTAAGAAAACCTCTCCAATACAGGAAACAGCAAAGGAGGGTGAAGACCAAAGTGCCCTGGTTAGAGGAAAGGGGACGATGGCTTAGTAAAATAAACGTTCCAGCACACTGTGCCCAGAAGCTATCATGAACTGGAAACTTGAACTGTCAGCAGCAATTGAAAACCACTGATTTGGAGTCCAAGTAAATTTTGCATTGGAGGAATATATAATGTTGGTGTGTTAAAAGAATGTTCATTATTTTCTTTTTCAGTAATTAATGGTCACACACTGTGTTTGCGGCTATTACTAGAAATTGCAGACAACCCAGAAGTGGTTGACGTGAAAGATGCCAAAGGACAGTAAGTGTCCTCACACATGGGCTTGGGTTGACATTTCAAAAACAATAGGTAATTGGTTAATTTGTTAAACAGTTGGGAGGGCTGGCTGCTGTATTGTAGGTTAAGGGTATCTCCACGACCACCACCACCAGTTGACATCGAGTCCATTCTGACTCGTGGAGACCCCATGAGTAGAACTGTGCCCCACGGGATTTTCAATAGCATCTTTTTTGTAAGTCGATTGCCAGGTCTTTCTGGATGGACTTCAACCTCCAACCATTCCAACGTTTCTGTTAGCAGCTGAGCACATTAACCATTTGCATCACCCAGGGACTTCTGAGGGTATATATTTGGGTGAAACTCATGAGTGAGGACCATAGAATGATAAGGTGGTTATGTGCTAGAGTATATCTCTAAGAAAATCGTGGGTGCTTACACACTCGTGCGCATATCTTTTCTCTTTTTTTACAGTGACGTGTGTATCTTGATGAAAAAGAGCCACGTTTTCATAGCTATGGCCCTGTATCTTGGCCCTCTTTTATATTCCCTTCTTTGTTCCCTATTTCTACTTGGTTTACCCTCTTCTGAATCCGCTACATTCCCATTTTTTTTAATTAGTAATTAATTTTAATAGAAGAGACTTCAATAAGTTACCTTCATCGTAAAAATCCTTCATATTTTTATCCTTGCTTGAGTTTTTTTTCCCCCCCTCAGTTTTTCCATCTGTTGGCCCATTTCCCACCCAATCATCTCTTACAATTAGAAAACACTGAGCAGAAATGCACTAGTGACTCGCCCCAGGCGTAAGATGTATGAGTTCGTATCTGAGTCAGAGCCCCACCTCCTGTGTCCCAACAGTGTTCTTTCCTCTAGCCTTGTCAAACTTTTTCTAAGGCTATGAAGTTTTGTTCAGTTAAATCTTGACCAGAAGTCCAACACAGAAAGCTATGAAAGTAGAGCTGCTCTGATAAAAGCAAGAGTCTCACACATACATACACCACTCCCCTACTCAATTGCTACTTAGCTACATAGTTCTGAAAATGATAGGATTAATGTGAACATTTTTCTAATGAACCTGCCCCTGTCCTACGCTATTGAACAGTTTACCATTCAGCATGCCCATTAGAGACCAGAGGTAGATAGCTTGTTCCACATAGCATGTACCACACTGGAAACACACAGAAAATATTAAACAAGTCGTCAAGGTTAAAAAAAATCCTCCCACTGGAACTGATGAGTATTTTTTAATCTCCTTTTTAAAAACCTAATTTACCTCTCTCCCTAGAACCCCACTGATGGTTGCAGTAGCGTATGGCCACATTGATGCTGTTTCATTGTTACTTGAAAAGGAAGCAAAGGTAGATGCTGTTGATATCATGGGATGCACAGCTTTACACAGAGGGGTATGTACATTTTCCTCAGCTTTGGTCAGGCAACTTTGCAGTGAGCTTCTTCCCCCCTCCCCACGCCCCATATGAATTTTTAGTAAAAAGATTGTTTCCTACAATAACCAATTAACCCCAGTCAGTCAAAAAGATTACAAAATCTTTTGCAAAGGTAAAATAATGGCAGCTACTCTTAGGTTCTGCTCTTGAGATTTCATGTTAGATTGTGATAGTAGATACATGAACACCTACTGTTGGTGGAACTGGTTCTGCTTTCTGATTACAAAATACATTTACATCATAGAAAAACTGCAAAATATAAGAAAGCAGAGAGAAGAAAATCACAATGGCAGTAATTCCACCTCCCGGAGAGAACCACTTTTTGGCATATGTATTTCCAGTCTTTTTTCTGTTATAGATTTTTTTTTAAATTAAAAAGAATACTGAAAACACTATTTTGGAACTGCTTTTTTCTCTTAGTATATAAAGGGCCTTTTTCCGAGTCTCTAAATATTTTTCTGCATCATCATTTTTAGGGCTCCATTGTGTGCATGTGCTATAATTTATTTCAGTGATTCCCAGTTTTGAATAGTCATGCAGTTTGTAATTGTCCTTTCTTAAAAATGATGCTGAAATATGTATCCTTGTGGACAATGTTTTGCATATGTCTGTTGAACTGTTTTTTAAAGCATGTCAAATAAACTGAATGAAACAAAAGCAGAAATCATAAAATCACTATTTTGGGATGGTGCCAAACAACCTGACAGTTGAAAAAAAGGGAACTCTAAGTGGTCAATGTCATAAGTATAGTTCGAATTTCTTGGGCACTTCCTGTGGGCATACCACAGGCTGGGAGCCTTTACATCAACAACTGGTGAGGTCATTATGACTGTCCCCATTTGCAGGTGAATCAAGTGAGGCACAGAGAGGACAACTGACTTCTCCAAGATTTATAAGGGGAGGGGAACCAGGATTTAATCCACATCTTCTTGTTTGTAAAGCCAGTATTTTTGGCTATGTCATGATACTTCTCTTGGTTATGTTTGGAGAGTCAAGAGATGTCTCCAAAATGGTAGTGTTCACAGCCATTCCCTTTATGAATCTTGTTGGTGTTGTCCTGCCTCTCTCCTCTAAGGTAGGGCAGAGTCTGCTTTCCTTAAGCCCAGGCCTATGTCTACTTACTGTAAGTCCGGCCTCACTTAGCTAATGACCTCACTTTCTGAGTCTTCTGCCCATTTGAGGTCTGTTTTGTGTTTTTAATTGCTATTCATCAGATTATGACGGGACATGAGGAGTGTGTGCAAATGCTGCTGGAACAGGAAGTGTCAATTCTCTGTAAAGATTCCAGAGGGAGGACGCCCCTGCACTATGCAGCTGCTCGTGGCCATGCCACGTGGCTGAGTGAGCTGCTCCAGATGGCACTTTCCGAAGAGGATTGTTCTTTCAAGGATAATCAAGGCTACACCCCACTGCACTGGGCTTGTTACAATGGTGAGTTGGTGGTCATTTGAGTGATTCCACTAGATTTCCCTACAGTGGCACCACAGAGATCTGTATCATATCTGATCAGATGATCAGATCTGTGGTCTCAGTGGAGGTGAGAAACTAGCCTAATGCTGTAAACAATGGTTTCCAATCTTTCTATGCCCAAGACACCTTTTTTTTTTTAATGGTTTCCCCTCATGACCACTGTTTTTAAAAGATACCTTAATTGAGTAAAAACTCACTCTCCAATTTTTGTTATTCAGTTACATAATGCATAATCAGAACTTCTAATTAACTGAAATAACCAATTTTAATCAGGGCTTCTGATCTACATGAAATAACCAGGGATCCCACAAGGAATTATAATAATACATATATATACAGATATATATATATGCATACATATATGTGTGTATATATATGTACATAAATATAAAATGTAATAGCCTATCACAACTGATTACTAGTAGATACATGATTTGTCTTTTGGTATTTCCTTTTTGTGTCTCATATTTCCCGTTTACTCTGTTTTATTTGTTATTTGGGAGTTAAAAAAAATTTCACTTCTTTGAGTAAAAAAAGAAATGCATGTTAATTGTGATAATTCAAAAATACTAAAGTATCTAAAGTAATTAAAATTAAGTCTCCATCTCCAGTCTGACTTTCTGATGTAATTTGGTGTATATCTTTCATGCTTTTTTCTTTACAAATATAAATATATGTGCATCTATTTTTTAAAACTAAAAGCATACAATAAATATCATTTTATAATGATATAACTTTGATTTAACTTTTGTTGTTGTTGTTTACTTAACATTCTGTTGTAGATACCCTTACAAGTAAATATGTATATAGATCAGTCTTTTTAATAGTTGCATATTATTATATATACATATATCAGAATGTATTCACCCATCTCAATTTATGGACCTTCAGATTCTTTTCAGGATTTTTTCTGTTACAAACAGTGCTACAGTGTGTGTCTTTTCGTATTATGGCGCTTTAAATTCTGTCAGATATTCCTAGAAGTGAAATTATTGAAGCAAAGGGCATATGCAATACATGTACTATTTTAATTTTAATAAATTCTACCATATTGCTTTGCAAAAAGGAGACTGTAATTTATTACTCCACCAAATATGTATGTAAAAGTTATTATTTTCCCATACCCTTGCCAGCCCAAGATAATATCAACTTTTTTTTTGTCAATTTGAAGGGGAAAAAAAAAAGGGTATCTCATTGTTTTAATTTGCATTTCCCTGTCTAGTTGTATATTATATTGGTTTTTTGCATTTTCTCTTGTGGAAATTACTTTTTCCATCCATTGCTCATTTTTTTTTCTGTTGAGTTGTTTCTCATACGTTTGTGGGAACACCTTGTCTTGAAGATAAGAATCTTTTGTGTATGATGTGTGCTGCAAATGTCTTCTTTCAGTCTCAGTCTACCATTTGTCTTTGTTCCTTGTTTATGATGTCCTTTTCCGTGCAGAAACTTTGAACTTTAATCGAATCTGTCAGATTTTTCTTTTATGATATCTAGGTTTCCATTCTTGCTTAAGAAATTTTCGCACTCCCAAGATTGTATGGATATTTTCCCATGTATTTCTTACACTGCTTCTGTAATTTTATTTTTAAATTTTCAATTCTTTTGTTAAATTTTTCAATTTGGAAACTATGATTGTTAGTTTCAGAAAGGTTTTTTGTGTGCTTAATTATATCAATTTAAGACATTTCATTACGTTTTCATTATAGTTCTCTTTTTTCCGTTGGTTCTGCCTCAGTAAGAGCTAGATTCTCTACTTGTTCAACCTGGTTTCTCTTTCCCTGCCATCAGAGGATTGTGATTTTTCTTTATCTGCTTATGGGTTGTTGTTGTTAGGTGCCGTCGAGTCAATTTTCAACTCATAGCAACCCTGTGTGACAGAGTAGAACTGCCCTGGTGGTGCAGTGGTTAAGAGCTATGGCTGCTAACCAAAAGGTCAGCAGTTTGAATCCGCCAGCCACTCCTTGGAAACCCAATGGGGCAGCTCTACTCTGTCCTATAGGGTTGCTATGAGTCGGAACTGACTCAATGGCAACAAGTTTGGGTTTTTTTGTTTTGTTTTGTTTTGTTTTGTTTTTAGTAGGGTTTTCTAGGCTGAAATCTTTATGAGAACAGATCACCAGGTCTTTTTCCCATGGAGTTGCTGGAGGGGTTCAAACTGTCGACCTTTCAGTTAGCAGCCAAGTGCTTAACTGTTGTACCATCAGGATTCCTAGGGCTCCCAATCCCCCATTTTGGCCAAGCTGTGAGATCTGTCTGGCAGTGGAGAACCTACAGGAGTGGAAAAATGCAGCAAGTGTTTGTTATAATGGAAGGTGGTAAACCTGCCACAGCTGATATCGTCTTCACCTGGGGTGGGGTTGGGGGTGTGGGTGTCTCTTCTGTTCTTAGGCCTAGCCAGGTGCTAGCAGGGGAGGAAGAGCCATCCTCTCCCATCTCCTCAGAATCCCCTTCATTGGGCATTTGGGAATAGTGGAAGTAGTTCAATTATCCTCAGGCCTCCTATATAGGAGACCCTTAGGTTGGGATTCATACAGTCCCCAAGGAATGGTATGTGAGGACGCTGCCCTAAACTAGGTCCTTTGGGGGATTCAAGTCATACTATTAGATTGAAGTGTCTGGGACGATGAGAGTGAGGAGTGGAGGTAGTTGGAAAGCTAAACCAAATAACTTGCCTGAAATTAGGAATGCTTTATATGCATTACTTCATATGCTTCTTAATCCTCCCAAAGAAATTTCACCTTTTCTTTTTTAGTGCATGAATTTTAATACTTAAAATTTCCAATTGGCATCATTCTCAGATAGATCACAAGGGAACTTTTACCAACTTAGCACTGAGCTCAGCCGAAAAGAGATCCCAGGACAACAACCTGTATTCCAAAGCCAAATAGCAATGCTTTTCTGCCTTAAAATTGTACAGCACTTCACAAACCACGTTTAGGTCCTTTGTCAAGTAAAGCTCCCATCGTCTTGTAAGACAAGGAGGACAGGTATTACTACTTCCATTTTAACATGGGAAGCTAAGGCTCAGAGATCCCCAGTAAGTTGCCCAAGATCATATGAGTAAAGTGACAGAGCTGGGACCTTAGTTAACTCAAACTCAGTTGATTTGGAAACCACCTGTCATTTAATTGGAGCCCTGTGGCACAGTGTTTAAGAGCTTGGCTGCTAACCAAAAGGTCAGCAGTTCGAATCCACCAGCCGCTCCTTGGAAATCCCATGGGGCAGTTCTACTGTGTCCTATAGGGTCGCTATGAGTCAGAACTGACTTGATGGCAATGAGTTTTTTGTTGTTTTATTGAAAATAATTCCTCAGATTTGTTCGTCTATTTCTTCAAAAAATACTTATGTGGTGGCTACAATGTGCCAAGCACTGTTCTTAGGCCATTTATACTATATTTTATAGTCAAAGCCCTTTTATGTGCATTATCTCAAATACTGTTTTCTACCAGTCACATCTCCTCTGCACTTACAAAAAAAAAAAAACAAACCCACTGCCGTCTTATAATGACTCTACAGGACAGAGTAGAACTGCCCCGTAGTAATTTCCAAAACTGTAAATCTTTACAGAAGCAGACTGCCACAGAGCAGCTGGTGGTTTAGAGCTGCCCACCTTAATCACTGCACGAGTAGGGCTACTCCTCTACACTAGGGTGCATAATTATAAGTAAACCTATTTGTATAGTTGAAAAGTAAATTTCTTAGTGTAAATATGGGAAAACTGAGGCATGCCTATGTTAGGCATTTTTATCTATTAAGATTTGACAGTAACAAAGAATCTATGCTGCTTGCAAATGAGGTCTCTTTTCTCTTTCTCTCCACCAGACCATATGGCCTTCACTGTTTTTTATTTGTTCATTATGTCTCAGTACACCTGTGAGCCTAGTTAATGACACTTTGGCATTTTATGAGTTTTAGTCAATGGAGAATGAACGTTCAGCCAATTCAGGAAAATTCGTAAGCCAGAATTTAATACTTAATGAAAAGAAAATAGATTGGATTGAACAAAGTTTCTTTCTTAGAAACTCCCTAAATTCTTTTGATTCCTTGCAGGTAATGAAAACTGTCTAGAGGTACTTCTGGAGCAAAAATGTTTTCGCGAGTTTATCGGTAATCCCTTTACTCCGCTACACTGTGCAATGTAAGTAGAAATGCTGGAAGTTAATGGTGCTGCTTTAATTCTTTTAACTACCATGGAGAAATTGCTTTTAGGGAAGGAAAACGCATTTCGATTTCAGATAAGACCAATATATTCCATTTTGCTGCTAAAGACAAACAGTTCTGATAGCGAAGCGTGGTCCCTAATGTTAATGATTTTCCAGGAGCTTTACGTGAAGTGCCACATTTCCAAGATGGCTCACGTACCTCCATAGGGAGGCTGTGTGAAGGGGTGGACTGAGAGGCACATTACACAAATGTGAAGAGCTCTTGTTCAGATGTACCTCACATTTGTCTGCCAGATTCTAAAAATAAGTCAGGTTAGGAACAACATGCCTATGGATGATCTGAAAGACATTTTTGTGCCAGGAAGACATTTCATGTATTGTAATTCTCCATTCTTTATACTTTGTAAATCCTTTTTTGGTAAGTGTAATTTTTGCTCCAGTCTCATAATATGAGCCATTGTTAGCATGCTCTGTGTTTAGCCTACTCCAGGTGAAGTCACTGCTTATAAAGACAGTCCAGTGACTTTAAGTCAGAATTCCATAGTCAGCCTGGGGAGCATGGTCACCCGGGGCCTGTAGTCAGCCTAGAGGCTCAAGCTCACCTAAGGGTCCATGGTCAGCCTGGGGGCCCAAGACTCAGGGATGCTTTGTCTTTATCCTCTCTGCAGGCTTCACATGAAGCTGGGTCATTCAACTGGAAAGATATTGGAGGCATAAAGTGGATCAAAAAGAAGGGATAAGTGATAAAGTTTAGGTGTGATTTAAATCTGAAGGAACCATGGCTTTCATATTCCCAAAGCCCTGAACATGGTGCTTTGCATAAGTGGTAGGCGTAAACTCCTACCTGGATTTCTGAAGAAGTGCTAGAGGTTACAGAGTGTTTGCCATTGAATAAATAGATCACAGATGTTATGCATCAAATATTTTAAAAATGTATCAGATTGTTAAATATACAGTGCATAGGAAGATGGGGTAGGAAGGGATATATAAATTTTAAACAAGAGTGAGATTTTTAAATTTAGAATCATTTTCATTTTAGAATAAATGATCATGAGAGTTGTGCATCACTGCTGCTTGGGGCCATAGATTCCAGTATTGTCAGTTGTAGAGACGACAAAGGACGGTAAGTGATCCTAAGATACCATGCCTTTTTCTTGATAAATCTTAGCCTCTGCTTTGTGGTTGCAGACTAGGCAAACATCTAATATTTTTTAACTGAAAAAGTAATATACAAGTATAGCTTTTAAAATTAAATATTACAAAGGGCATAAAATTAAAAGAAATTTCCCCCTTAGTCCAGAAGCCCTAGCTTCTTCCCCAGGGGATGCCATTGGAAACTATTTTCTCCAGACTGTTTTATTCTCCCAAATATTTTCTATACATGTGTACAAACATATATAAGTATATATATGCATGTACAATGGGAGCATCCTATGGCAATGCTCTGCTTTTAGTATATCTTAGAGATCTTTTCATATCAAAACAGGTCGATTTATAACATTCTTTTTTAAAATGTGTATTATTCCATTGAATGGATATACTACAGTTTAATCAGCCTGCCTTTTATTGAAGAACATTTAGGTTGTTTACATTACTTTGCTATTACAAATGGTGGTGCAGTGCACATTCTCATAACATGTGTCTGTACACATGATCAAGTATAACTGGGAGATAGAATCTTAGAAGTGAAATTAGCACCTACCAGTTGCCATAGAGTTGATTCTGATTCATAGCAACCCATGTATGTCAGAGTAGAAGTGTGCTCCATAGTGCTTGCAATGGCTGATTTTTTGGAAGTGGATTGCCAGACATTTCTTCCAAGGTGCCTCTGGGTGAACTTGAACCGCCAACATTTTGGCTAACAGTTGAGTGCATTGATTGTTTGCACCACCCAGAGACTCCAGAAGTGAAATTACTTGGTCAATAGGTCAATAGTTTTTAATTTTGATAGATAATGCCAAATTGTCCTCTCAAAGAAAGCAACCATCCACATTAGATGATATGGGCTTTAGTTTTTTCAACATGTAAACAGGCAATTACCTATAAATTAAAGGCTTACTTCTGAAAGTATCTTCCAATACAAGGTATCAAAGATGAGAGCAGAGTTACTGGTAACTCAAGATTAAAGTGTTGTCCTGATGAAAATACTTGGAAGGAAGGTGTTCAGTGTATGCATATTAAGAAGGGCAAAGATGGGAGAAGAGAAAAGGACAAGAAATAATGTTATAAGTGACAAGTGGAGTAGAAAAAGAAATCTAAGCAATGGTTAGATGCAGATATAAAATATTGAAATGTTGGACTATAGAAACAATTCAAAAAATTTGGGGAAAAAAGATCAAAAGGTTAGTAGAGATGGTAAAGGAGCCCTGGTGGCACAGTGGTTAAGGGCTTTACTGCTAACTGAAAGGTCTGGGTTCGAACCCACCAGCCGCTCCATGGGAGAAAACTGTGGCAATCTGCTTCTGTAAAGATTACAGCCTTGGAACTGCATGAGGCAGTTTTACTCTGTCCTGTAGGGTCACTATGAGGAGGAATCAACTTGATGGCAGTAGGTTTAGTTGTTTTTTTTTTTTTTTTTTCTTGGTTAGGGATGACAAGGAGTCCCTGGGTGTTGCAAACAGTTAATGCACTTGGCTGCTAACCAAAGGTTGGAGGTTCAAGTCCACCCAGAGGGACATTGGAAGAAAGGCCTGGTGATCTACTTCTGAAAAATCAATCATTGAAAACTCTTTGGAGCACAGTTCTACTCTGACACACATGGTGTCGCCATGAGTCCAAATCAACTGGGCAGCAGCTAGTTTTAGAGATGGTAAATCCATTATCAGAGCCGCCATATACACCCACCAAATCTAGGGGGCGCCGTTCACACAAAGGATACCTTGTAGCCCACCCTTTGTGAGCTTTAGAGGGATTTTGATCATTATCCCTGTAAACTGAGCAGTTTTAAATCCTGTGGACAACACCCTGCCCATGTTTCTGAAAGAAAGTGTGTTATGTTTAAAGGAAACTAAAATCATGCTGTTTTAAACCTTTTAGAACACCTCTTCATGCGGCAGCCTTTGCTGATCACGTGGAGTGCTTGCAGCTTCTTTTGAGCCACAGTGCTGAAGTGAACGCGGCAGACAATTCAGGGAAAACAGCACTGATGATGGCTGCTGAGAACGGGCAGGCAGGCGCCGTGGGTAGGTTCTTGCCGTGTGGACTTTGCATTTATACTTACTCAAAAATCAAAATGACATAAAACCAGGAAATCACTTCTGTTTGTATACACGTGTTTAAAAGACCACCAACAGTTTTACTTAAGCCACCTGACTCTACTTGTTCAATTATCTTCAGTCTCCTGTTACTTGATTATTTGTGGACCTTGTAAAAATGAACCAGCCTTTCTGCAGTGAAATTTCTCAATGTTTAGAAACCAGATATAACAAAGAATCATTTTAACGGGTTATAATGAACCTGTAAAGATAAAGTTAATGCCCCCAATTTTTATTTGGATATAATAAATATGGCGATAAATTGCTCCTTTAAAAAGAAGAACAATGAAATATGATTTATGTGAGCTGTACTAATTTAAATATATTGTTTCTGTAGTAACTTCTTCAAAAGGCATGTGGTTAGCATCTGGTGTAAGTAACCCTCTTCTGGCTTTTCCTATAGATATTTTGGTGAACGGTGCCCAGGCTGACCTGACTATAAAGGATAAGGACTTGAATACACCATTACATTTGGCTTGTAGTAAAGTATGTAAAGGAATTTAAAACATTGGTACTTGATATTGCAATAATAATAGTACCTCTTAAAGTCTGTTTATCTCAGAAGTGTGAATTGTGGCTGTTCATTAAGATATGTATTTCTCAGGATGTTATCAACTATAAGGGGAATAAGGAAAGGCAGACCCACCCAGGGGTTAATGAGGATGTGCTTTTTATGGCATTTGCCTTGTGAAATCTTTGCTACAGTCCATCTGTCGCGAAGCTGCCATTCTATCTATCTCCATGGTTGTGGTACTACATTTTGGTTTTAAACACAGGTTAGGACTTAGTCATGTGGCTTCTAAAATATAAACAGTTAGTGAGGATGTACTTTTTATGGCATTTGCCTTATGAAATCTTTGCTGCGGTCCATCTGTCTTGATGTTGTCATTGTATCTATCTGCGTGGTTGTGGTACCACATTTTGGTGTTAAACACAGGACGTTAGTAATATGGCTTCTAAAATATAAACTGTTCCACTTGCTTTCATTTTTTTCCATTTGAAGACATTTTAATAACACAACCAAAAAATTGTACTCTAAGGCAAATGAATGTATCCATATGTATTTCTACCCTTCCCCTTTTTTTCTGGTTCATAGTTCAGTGCAAAGAATGTGTTTTTTGGGTTTTTTTTTTATAGCATGTGTTCACATGTACCTCAAGGTTCGTGCTTCTATAAAACATAAATTATATATGTGTATTTATAAACTTGATTTCACAAAAATGAGATCATACTGTTCTATAACCTGCTTTTGTTACTAAATAATATATCATGGATATCTTTAAGATGCTGTATTTTACGGTGTTTTAAAAGATGTGTGGTATTCCACGTTAGGAATGAGTCATCATTTATTTACCCATCCTCTATTGTTAGTCATATAGCATGTTTCCAAAGATAAGCTACTATAAATAATGCTTATTGTAGAGAAATCTTTTTTTAAGGATCCTTATCCGTTCCTTTAAAATATATTCCTAGACATGGAATTTTTGAGTCTAAGGATATGAACATTTTTAAGACTAATTGCCCTCTATAAAGCGTACAGCAGTTTATACACCCCAAGCAGTGCATAAAAAGGAAACTTCCATGGACATCTCTAAAATTATATTTAAGGATCTCCCTTATAAGACAACATTATAGTATGATGCCAGTTGACACCAGTGATGGTGGTTTATTTGAATATTTTTATAATATTAAAAGTGTTATATATACCCAGTGTTACCAAAGGTCTTGGGCATTCCTTTCACTGCGTGCATTTTCTCACTTCATGCTTTGAGAAGTCCATGGAAACCGCAAAAAGTGCTGAGTTTCATGAATTTCATTTCAAGGTGTAGTGTTCTAGTGAATATATTTTAGTGCATTGCTTTTCAAATTTAATTGTGCAAAGGAATCACCTGGGAATCTTAAAATGCAGCTTCTAATTTAGTAAGTCTGGGGTACAGCCTGAGAGTCCACATTTCTAACAAGCCCCAGGTGATGCTGATACTGTTGGTCTGTGGACCACACACTGAGGAGCGAGGACTTTGAGAGCCATGATCCCTTAATGGGGCACTAGGCTTAAAATCGTGAAAGGCTCTGGCTTATCAATTGATTAAAAAAAAAAAAAAATCATCAACCATCTTAAATTTATCAATAGAGAGATAACATCCTGGTTGGGAAAGAAAAGAACGAAGTTTCCTGAAATAGGATCTCTACCAATATAAGACAGTAAATGATGATGACTGATGCAGATAATAGGTGTAATGGGAATTCCAAGGATAGTTAGATCACTGAAGTGGTAATAAAAGGCTAGGGAAGGAGGTGGGACTTTCTCTGTGCTTAAAAAGTAATGTTGAAGGATTTAGAGGATACCATACTCTTAATTCTGACCTCTATTAACCAGCTGAAGCATCTGCTTCAGCTCTCAGTAACATTCATGTGAAAAGTTATCTTAAAATATTAATGTTCTATATCAGATGAAGTCCTAACAGAGTTTAATCATGAACTCTTAATCAGAATCTTAGAGTTTTGTGGCCCTTTAGCCATTTGCTTTCTAGAAGAAAAAAAATGACTCAGAAAAATAGCCTCATTGAATGTTTTCAGGCAGAGGAAATACATTTTCCATTTAAAGCATAATGTAGTAATTTTTCAAGAACTTGTCTGTGTCTTATCACTCTTTTTCTTTACTAGGGTCATGAAAAATGTGCCTTGTTAATACTTGACAAGATACAAGATGAGAGCCTTATTAATGCAAAAAATAATGCACTGCAGACGTAAGTGTCAATGTCTAAAGTTTGACGCAGACCCAGATTCACATTTATCTATTCAACAAATACTAAGATCCTGCTATGTCCCAGGCTAGTGCTGGGGAGCACAGTGGGGAAAGACACAGACCTGGCTTCCCATTCATGAAGTTTACAGTCACATACCTACATGCTTACCAAGCTAGCCATTTTGAGTCATAATCCTTATTTTGATACGCCTCCATAGAATTTTGCAAAGTCTGTGTGTTTCTTTGCTGTGATTTCTAGGATAATAATATAAATTATATATTAAATATAATATATATACAAATTAAATAATATAAATTTAGTAGGCTGTTAGAAAATCTTATGTGCTGACATATTTGGGGAAACTATTTGTATAAATGTATTAACATTCTTACTAGAAAATGACAGTTTTATATATCAAGTTCCCAGAATAGATTTGAAACATTTCTAAGCTATTTGCCTTAATTACATTTTAATATAATTCAGTGCAACCTTCTGTGTGAAAGTCCTAAAAGCTGCTTCATTTTCCATTTTAAGAAATTACTTATGCATTTGTTTTAAGGGCAAGGAAATATTAGGGTGTTTTGTTTTTTTAACTTTAAAATTCTTAAGCCATATATAGCAGAATATGCTGAATTTGACATTATTCTTTATAAAGTTGGTAGAACATGTGTGCATTTAATAATAATTAACAGTTTTGAGATGATCTATATAAGTGATCTTGATACAAGTTATATGAACTGTGTAAAACAGTGATTCAAATGCCATGGTCAAAATCATGGTGGAAAAGAACCTTCTACAAAACACATCTGAGCTTGAGTTCTTCCTCTGTCCTCATATCTATTGTCATTGAGATTGTTTGAGATGCAGATTATTTGTAAAACTTTCAGAGAAATCTAGGCCAAACCTGGAAGAACAGTTGGATCATTGTCACCTGGAAAAGGTCTGGTCTACAAATGTCTTTTTTTTTAAGTAAAAATATTTGAGTGCTATCTATAGATTCTTAAGTCCTTTTTATCTTTTAATGACGTGGGTTAGCAAAAGTGACACATTTCTCACGCAAATGTGTATCGCAGTTGATGGTTGATGTTGTTTTACAGACCTCTCCACGTTGCCGCACGTAATGGCTTGAAGATGGTGGTTGAGGAGTTGCTAGCCAAAGGAGCCTGTGTACTTGCTGTAGATGAAAATGGTAAGTGGAAAAAGTAACCAATTACTACAGGTACTTTCCATATACTGGCGGAAGCCAGAGTAAAATGAGAAAGATAGGAGCTAGTTTAAAAGGCAGTAAGAATTCTCTCCCCTTTAGAAGCTCCATATGTGTGAGAAATCAAACAAGGATAATTTGTCCTGTCTGTCTTTTTGTAAAACACATAGTCCACCTGTAGCCCACCAGTGCCATCCATTTTGCATGTAATGTCAACAGCTGGTCTCTAACTCCTCAGCATGATAGTTAAAAGGTTTAAGACACACAAAAAAAACAAACAAACAAAAAAAAAACTTTAGCATTCGAAATTCTAACTGCATACGCTGAAGAGTTAGGGATTACACATGTCATTAGTGCATGCTTTAGGGCTCAGATAAAAACCTTGGTCTTTGATTCCATTTCAGTTCATTCTGAGATCAAACCTACTATTATTAGTATTTTAATGAATAGATCAGAACTCATGTTCCCTGTATGGAAATTTGGGGAACATGAGTAAAGTTTCTTAATTAATGTCTAGGATTGAAAGCTTCTCCTCATCTACATAACATTCCTTTTCTAAATGAACTAACTCTTAGCAGAAGCTTTCTACTCTGCTTCCTAAGAAATTGTGAGAGCTAATAAATACTGGAATTGTATTAAACTTCTATTTCAAGCACAATGCCTATTAACCTTGGGGAGCAAAAGAGGAACTTCTGGATATTTATGAGTTAAGCATCTTTTCAAATGTGGCATTAATTATGACATTTAATTAAAGTATTATAATAAAATGTATTAATGTAACTCAGTTAACTGCTTATTACAGGTATTGGAATTAGCAGCTCGTCCCTATTTCTCAGAAGTAAGCGGCCATACTGACATCATTAGCTAACTCTTATTAGTTTTGGTTTTGCAGCCCCATTATCCTAACATGTACCTTCCTCTGCCCCCACCTGACTCATCTAGGACGAGCAGAAAATTCTCTATTACTCCATCTCCTTGGTTTTCCCCCCTCACATTCCCTCACCCTCTTATCATCATGATACACCTTATGGTTGGCATCCAGGGACCCACAATTTTCTCCAAAATAACCAAAGAGACCAGAATAAATTAGTTTTGCCTTTCTCAGATATAAATTTGCTGCATTAGAGGCTTGTCCAGCTGGTGACTACCTTAGGAACTAGAGCCCTGGGCCAGTGGTACTGTGACTGTGTCTCAAAGGCCTGGAATATTCGGGGCTATGTGGTACAAAGCTTAGAATCGTCAGTCCTTTTATTATCATGAGCCTTTGTGGAGTGCAGTTTTTAATATGCCTGTCCCTTCTTGTTTGCTTTCATAGCAGAGAGAGGAATAGTCTGTTCACTGGGTTAAAAAACTTATCAGGTCAAATGCTGACAAATAAAACGTTGAGTTTTATTAAGCCACTTTCTCTGGATGATTGGGTGAGTGGCTCGTTGCAGTTATAGGAGCTTTAGCTGGCAGCGAGAGAGGGCTAACCCTTTCAGGCCAGAAGAATAAAGGTTAGATAAGGGTCATAATTAAATCAAAAAAGTAATCCACCTCCCCATGGCACCTAATTTATACATTGAGGCAGTTTTCTCATGGGAACTGGGCCCATCAAGCCTAAACGTTAAGAATGACACAACTCTGATCCTGGCAAGCGTAACAGTTTCCCCAGATCTGTTACATGTCGGATTGGGGGGCTTTTGTTGGTGGTGTGGCTATTTCTTTTTAATTCTGTTAAATTCTCTTAAATGATAGTAAATTTGAATCATAAGCAACCAGTGCCTTCCTGTGTCTGATCTACTCAAATGAGTCCATTTTTCTAAAACCAGTTAATTGATGTATACTTTATGTAGGGATAGCTGCCAGTAAGTCCTCTACAACTTATGATCACCTTATGTACAATAGAACGCAATGTGAGCTCTCCATGAGGTCCTGTGTCATCCTCACAATCGCTGGCAATACTTTGTATAAAGTATACATAAAGTGATAAAAGCACAGTAGTCACTTTTACAGACATCTAATTTTCAAAGTCTTTTCTAGTCTGACATGTAATCGCCTACAATTGAAAGGTATTGTTCTCAGAATGAGAGTCCTACTCTGGCCCAAGCCTGAGGCTCATGGTGTGCGTGAAAACCTCCTTCTGGTCGTCCTGTTGCTGTTTTTGTGGAATTGTGTCCCATCCCTCCCCCCTCGTGTTTCTGTTCACTAGGTGAAGGCTGGAATTCTGCTTAACTTCGGATAATATAGTGCTTGTTATCGTCATGTGAGCTGAAGAAAAAACCTCCCTAAAATGTTTCTTCCACCCGTCTAGCCTTACCCCTAGCATGACTTGTAGAAAGTAACTCCTCCTTTTGCCTGGCATGATTTTAACTCAACATACATCTCCACTTGTGAAGCCATATGAGATGTACTGTGGAATGCTCACGCCTCCTTTGGGTGCCCCAGTACTAACCACTGCCTTGTCTGCATTTACGCCCAGGTCATACCCCGGCCCTGGCTTGCGCTCCTAACAAAGACGTGGCTGACTGCCTGGCCCTCATTTTGGCTACCATGATGCCTTTTTCTCCTTCCAATACAATGACGGCTGTCAACTTCATTTGTTTTAAAAGAGACAATTTGAGCAGAACGACCCTCTCCAATCTGGGTAGCATGGTTAGCCTGTGCAGTAACAACGTAGGTTCGGAGGATGGGTACAATGAAAATGATTCAGATTCGGAAACGTTTTGACTTTGGACTGTAGAAGCTTTTCCTTGATCACCCATGTTGGAGGAAGGGAAAGAAGCTTGAATATCAAGAGTTTGTTACATTCTAGTATTATTGTGGGTCTAAGCTTCCAGAAGCCAGTTAAGAAGGAAGGAATTAATCAAACCGAGGGAGGGCAGCTATGCTATAGGGGAAGAATTCACACAGATGGGCCGTGAATTTGCTTTGTTCCACGTTTTCCTTAGAGCTAAGGTACTTCTGTGAAAGTCTACCTCTCATTTTAAGGAAGGAATAAAAAATGCATTTCTTCTTTGGGGATAATGAAACAGAGAGGGAGCTGTTCTCTATAAGGATTTCTTTTTTTTCAAGTACTCACTCACCAGTGAGTTCTCAGAAGTATATCAATGTGATATTCATGTCCCCTGGGAGGGGAAGGAAGGGGTGCATAGGAAACGCCTCAGATCTCTTCTCACTTTAATGTTTACTTCCTCACTAGAAGCCAAAGGTAAAGGTGTTCATCTTCAGAAATAATGCCTGTAATAATCTTTTTAAGGGAGTCCAACTATTCATATCTTCTCTATAGTAAGCACTTAAATATCCAGAACTTCTGAGGATGAATTTAAAAATTGAACTAGCTTTTTTTTATTTTATTTTTTTTAACACAGTATGGCACCCAGTGTTCCCCATAACAAGCTTGTGACTAATTTTACCCAAGTGATTGAATTCAAATCTATATACTAACATTTTAGGTAAAAATTATATTGCACCAAAACTTTGAGACAGTATGCAAATTTAAAATGAAACTACCTTTATAAATTCATCCTTAAATAAAAATACCAACTTTTTGAAAACATCAGAACTATCAGCATTTTTCATCAAATGTATGATGAAACATCTCATGTAGGATGAAATACAGTAATACGTTAAATGAGCTTCTCAGTCAAGGTCATGCCAAGTGAGTGAAAGTGTGACTCCAAAAGGGAACAAAGGAAGCACAAGCAGGAAATAGAAATGGGTAATATGGAGATTAAAGCCAATTACCAACTGTTTGATGAAATCATCATAGTGAATACTGTGTCTGCTCCCTCTGCCAAAGTTTCTAGGTCAAATGGACCCCGTTCCGCACTTGGAACAGCTGTACAAAAAGAAGAATGAGACTCTTTTAAAAATATGCACATACACACACACATACATGTGTATATGTATATATATGTATTTCATCAACCAGCTACACATGAGGACCAAAATGCTTCAGTCGAAAATGGAAGATTTAAATTTTTTTCCTTCAAAATGGAAGTGAGAAATGAAGTAGCTTTTCTATGGCGTAAAATGTAATCTTTTTGTGTAACAGTCTTTGTTGTATTTTATATTTCTTGCAACAGATTTCTAGTTGATGGTTGAACATTTGTAACTGATGATGTGTTGACCACGGTTTATTTTTTTGCCAAACTAGAGAAATGTTCATATACTTTTGATGTAAATGTGTTTATATTTATTTGAAATGAAACAAATGCCGAGGAAACATATCCATTGTTTGTTCTCTGTTGTAATCGCTATATGTCTTATTTGGGGTAACAAAAAAGCAGAAAGACACATGCAACCCCTGGCTAGCCAGAAGTCCTGGGACCATGTCCAGCATGTCCACTGCTAAAGTTTCTAGCTGAGCCTCAGGTTCTTCCACGTCAGTTGGGAAGAGGTACACTGCTTACCCCCAGTCTGCAGCCAGCTTAGAATTTAGAAGACTTTGCAGTCTGCGTACTCTTCTCCAAGATGAAAGCTGAAGTGCACAGAGGAACATAGTATAAATGTGGTCCAAAGAAAGATACAGAAATTATCCTAAATACATGGAAAAAATCTCACATGGCCCCAGTATCCTAATGGGAAAACAATGTCAGTGTGCTGGCACATGTGCTGAGAGAAGAAATAAAAATCACCAGCTCAAGTGCTACTTTCCACTTGAGGAAGAGACAGGGAAGAAACTGTATTAGGACAGTACTCCTCGATATTTTGTAACGAGTTCCATTTTAACCCTGGAAATTTCTATTTTATAGTGTACGTGAGATATTTTCTAAAACAGTGTTCCTAGCACACCTGGATAAAATTTAGATACTGTATTTTTCATCTAACTGTTAAAGACTTTAATCTTACTCTTTTAATATCCTGAATTTAATTAAAACTCATGTTGGGTTCTTCACAAATAAGAATTTGTTCAAAGGACTTATAGAATTGGTATCAGTTTCACTGAAAATTTTCAAAATGACCAACATTATTTTTTGAATTTTTGGTATTGTGTTCTCTTCCTTCCTCCGTCTTTTTTGTTTGTTCTAGAGATTTTTTTTTAATAAATTGCTTATGAGCAATAATGACTTTATATTTACCAACACACTGAAAATAAGGAAAATCCAGTGTTGAAGAAGCATGAAATACCGCGGTGTCTTTTTCTAGAAATGAATGGAAATCTTGCTCAGTTGGCATTTAAGGCAGGAAATGAAATGCCTGCTTTCATGGTGAAGTAGCGTTAACATTTTTCTGTAGAGTAGCAGAGAGAACAAGGAATGCTGCAGCAACACAGTGACTGTGATCACATGACATCATCACCACGGAGCTGCATTTGGACTTTTTCCCCACTCTTACTGGTAGAAGGAGGACAAAAGGAACAAAATGAAATCAGACACCCATTGAATCTGTCTCTGTCTTTCTTTCTTTCTCACTCCCCAAAGACCAAGTTTTTTTTTTTCTTGAATAAATGAATTAAATACTATAATTTCTGTGTTTTTTAAGTAATGTCTCTCAGAAATATGTTTGCAACATAACTTTCTAAGAAAAAAAAAAAAACAGAAAGCATTGTGTTTTTAATTGATGCTTAGTTGTTTAATGCTTTTATCTTAAGTGTTGTTTTTAGCCTGTATTTTAACCATAGCCACAGGGCTCATGTTTCATTGCATTTACCTCTTCGCCAGTGTCTGCCTATCTTTGGTAAATACATTACTATCTCCAAATTGCCTAAAATCTGCTATGATTCTACAGTAAATAGCTCAGGGGATTTCTGTTTATCACTACTAAAAGGGCACCATAGTATGTTTTGGTACTTGAGGCAGTAAACAGCTGCTTGATTTATTATTTTATCATTAAATTAGAACATCATATGGATTTGCTGCACTAGTTATTCTTTGTACTGTTGAGCAACTTGGTTTGCTTGTCTGTTGCATTGGTTGAAGAACTCATCCCATTTTTGTCTTGTAATATGAAGTTAGAGTGCCTTTTTATATTTGTATATTCTGAAAATGTTCTGTGAAATGTTTTGTATTTTTTTCATTTGAGTGTTACGAGAGCAATATAAGACCCGTGAGTTTTCATTTCAACTTTCTTTGAATGTATAAAGTGTCTTTTTTCCTCTTTCCCCTTTCACCGGCTTTGAAATGAAAATGAATATGCTAAAGTTTTCTATAGCAAATATGTTTGACTTTGCAGTGCTAAAATGCTTTCTTCTTACGAAACTGTAAACTGTAGGTCAGTGTTACAGGGGAAAAGCGTTTTAAAAAACACTTTTGTGACAATCTGAGTGTGTGTATAAAATGTAATTCTATATGTTTCTTATGCAGTGATCTAAAATTTCAATGCAAATTTCTTTTGTTTGGTAGTTTTGTCTACGTATGTTATGCTTTAGCATGTGCAATATATCTTTGCAAAGCACGATGATGCAAATCTGGTGCCAGTGTTACATTTTGCATAACATATTTGTAACAGCATAAAATATTGTTTCATGATTTCAGTGGGATTTTGTCTGTAATGTTTTCTTATGTGAATTGAAGTTGAATGATGCTGGTAAATGTTATGACTGTAAAAATGAGGAAAATGACTTTCAGTTCCGTGAATGACTTTGAACCAATCTGAATTTTCTCAAGCACAGTTTAATACTTTTGCAACTACTGAATGCTCGAATAACATAATGAAGTACTTAACTGTAATATACTATGGAAATGCATTCAGATGGTTATTTTTACAAATAAAAACAGTACAAATATTGTTGTAATTTTTTTTTAATTTTTCCAAATTATGCTAGATTAAATCTTTGTCCCCCCAAAACCAAACTAACTTTCAGTTTTGAAAATATATAACCAAGATAGAAGTGTATCTTCAGATTTGCTATTTCTGTTTGTATCATCACAATTAGAGGAAGAATTTTTAAACATGTATATTTGTGTTTATTACATTTATTTATGCCCCCAACTTTTTCCATAAAGAATTTGAGCTGGCTTGCAATAAAAAGACATGATAAACTATAAGTATAAAAATTAGAACAAGGAAAAAGAATATACACAAATATGAGAACCATAAAATTCAACACAGTGGCTATCACTAAACTTGAGTCTGCTCTGAGCTTCCTTGTAGCCAAGGTAAGAGGAGAAATGTGATCAATTTTTTGGTTCACATATACCAGGAAGGAGGAAGCCTATCGAGGTCCTAAAATTGTGAAATCAACCATGTGTATCTTTGGTCCTGCCACCACTACTCTTCAGCTTTTTCTTGGTTATCTGGTGCTGCTGTAACAGAAATACCACACACAAGTGGATGGCTTTAACAAAGAGAAGTTTATTCTCTCATAGTCCAGTAGGCTAGAAGTCCAAATTCAGGGTGCCAGCTCCAGGGGAAGGCTTTCTCTCTCTGTCTGCTCTGGAGAAAGGTCCTTGTCATCAGTCTTCCCTTGGTCTGGGAGCATCTCAGCACAGGAACCTCAGTTCAAAAGGACACACTCTGCTCCCAGCGCTGCTTTCTTGGTGGTATGAGGTCCCCATGTCTCTCTGCTCGCTTCTCTTATATCTCAAAAGAGATTGGCTTAAGGCACTATCTAATCTTGTAGATCTCATCAATATAACTGCTGCTAATCCATCTTATTAGCATCATAGTGATAGGATTTACAACACATAGGAAAATCTCATCAAATGACAAAATGGTGGATAATCACACAATACTGGGAATCATGGCCTGACTTTTCAGTAGACACATATTTTGGGCGGACACAATTCAATCCATGACAAGCTCCATGGCAACACAAGAACCTACCTCTCTGCACTGTCCTTAAACTTATCCACAGAATTGCCTTCATCCAAAAGTTCTCCGCTTGAGTAGTAACTTGAGCAAACAGTTCTTAGAAGAACTAAGGAACAAATTCCTAAATGATGGGGTTTCCAGCTGATAAGAGAGATTTTTGGGTAGGGCCTTCCCAAATCCCTCAATCACAGAATCATAGAATGTTATTTCTCACATACTGTCCATCGCCATTTTTTAATGAAGAAACTGAGTTCCAAAGAAATTATATCACTTGCCAAATTTGAATAGTTAATGATCTGAATACGCAACCTGTGCCTCTAGGTACTCTATCTTCTATGCCGTACTGCCATATGATTTTTTTTTTCCCTGCAAGAGAGGTTCAGGGAGGTTTTGCACTCTGCGCCACCTCATACCTTATTTAAATATACAAATCTGAATGACATTCAACCCTGAAAACTATAAAATATGAGTTATACCACAGGTAAGTGCTTCCTGTAGTTTATAGCAGACTAAATATATTAGTTATCTATTTGCTGCATACAAATCATCCCAGAACATAGTGGCTTAAAACGACAAATGTTGATTATCTCACAATTTCTTCGGGTCAAGAACTGGGCATAGCTTAGCTGGGTCTCCTTTTTCAGGATCTCATAGACTGTAATCATGCTGTTGGCCAGGGAAAGATTTATTTCTAACCCTTTGGTGACCAAATTATTTTCTGCTTTGAATTTTTTGTTGATACCATGTGTTTTCACTAATGGAAGCATGCTGAATCATTGAGTGTGTCTGAATTTTTGGTAGGTAGTATCAATTTTTTTTTCTTGCCCCCTCCCACAAACCGACCCCTGTGCTTAGTGGTACATATGATCTACCAGTAATTCTACCCTTGGGGGTCTACTGGGACATATATGTACCAAATAAAATTTTTCAAAATTTCTATTTTTCCTACCAAAAATTCAGACACCTCATACAATACCCTGTAAAAACAGTAATTTGCGGCACATGCCAGTTTCTTCTGTTTCAAACAGTCATCAGGGCCCCTGCCTTGCAGCAACATGCACTGTCAATGGTACATCAGCTTCCCAATAAGTCTCAGAGGCTGAAAAACTACATGGTCACTATATGTGCCGTCAAGCACAAAAGGGCTAAGTTCACTCACAAGGTTGTTAGCAGAATTCTTCAGAGGTTGTTGAACTAAAGGGCCTCAGTTCCTTGATGGCTATTGGCTGGCAACAGTTCCTTGTCACGTGAGCCTCTCTAATAGAGGGCAGCTTTTAACATGGCAACTTGCCTCATCAGAGCAAGTAAGCTGAGAAGAAAGAGAGAAGACAGCAAGACAGAAGTCACAGTCTTTTGTAACAATCTCAGAAGTGACATTCCATCATGTTCCCCATATTCTGTTTATTAGAAGCCAGTCACTAGGTCCAGCCCAAACTCAAGGGGATGGAATCACACAAGGGTGGGAATCATTGGGAGCCATTTCAGGAGTTGCTTACCTCACTGGGTCTATTGCGGGGTCCTTTGAGATTGTAACATCATGCTGAGTTACCTTCTGCCCAGCAATTGCTAAGGAAATTATTTACTTGACTTTCTGAATTCATCCTTTCAAGAATGCAAACCTGTTGCTGTCAAGTCAATTCCAAGTCATAGTGACCCTATAGGACAGAGTAGAACTGCCCCATAGGGTTTGCAAGGAGCAACTGGTGGATTTGAACTGCTAACCTTTTAGTTAGCAGCCAAGTTCTTAACCACTGCACCACCAGGGCTCCAAGAATGCAGGGATCCCCCAGTTTCCTTGTGCTCTTATAAGCAAGTAGAAAGGATAATGGCCTCCACTGCAGCAATTATATTGTTGAACACTGACATGGCATTTTGTCTTCAAATCGCTTGTCAAAGGATCCCTCTGTCTAATTCCGTTCAGTAAGTTTAGATCCTTGTACATCTATCTCTCACTGAACACACTTAAGTGTCCCAGAATTAGCTTGCAAGGCACAAAGGCATTAAGCTAAAAGGCTATTAACATAACACAAAAAGATTGTGGGTAAAAGTGCTATACGAATTGTCTCTATAGCAAATTTTATACTGAAGGTACATTTCCTCTAAAATAGAAAGCAGCAAAGATAATGATTGTGCCATTCAGTGGTTCTCAAGCACCCCAGGGGGTGATTGGAAGTATGTGGGGCAATAAATGGGGGGGGTGCTACCAGCATTCACTGTCCTAAGGGCAAATGTCCCACTCAGTGTACAACCGCCCCACCCACAATGCTAGTGCTCCCTCACCCCATTCTTCATCCACTCGCTCTCTTGTTTCTGAATCATTTCTTCATGAATTTGTGACTTGTGAAGCCAGCCATATTTTTGTCCGTTTCCACAAGGAATTGCATAAATATGCTCATGTATATATTTCAGAGGTGATACAGATTTGATAATGACAAAGCCAAGGATATAACCGTAGGAGTGGGTGGTTGAGGCTGATTGGAGGAAAAAAGCATTGAAGGTGAAGGAGTCAAAAACTGAGAAGTCAACATGATGAATGGCTCAAAAGCTGTTTACCGTAGAATTTGAGCAAAATCAATGAGAAAAATTGGCCACTTCAAAACTTCTTTATGTAGACACACTCTCAGAGCTGATTTATTATCATACTGAAGTTTGCTTCCAGGATTAGGGTGAGGCTTTTAAAGAAGTAAGAATGGTCAAGTGTACTTCTGTTTTGTTTTTCTTTAAAAAAAAAAA